GCCGCAGCTGATGTGTAGTGATAGTTATAGTTATTCTATGCATATATGCATGCATACTGTAAAAGTGACTATACGTGTACTATATACATCTTAATATATGCTCATGCTTGGAAACATCAGGAGAGAAAATTGATACCTTCGCCACCTTTCACACATCTACAACAGGCACTTAGTCACATCCTTCGCCACCCAATCTTTTGCACATCCGGAGGTGAGAAGGGTTTCGAATGGAGGACAGCTGTGGCATTGTTGGGGGCCCAGGCGCCGTGACAGGCGAGACCGAAGCACACCATGTTTTTGTTCAGGTCTCACCGGCCTCACCCAACCCACACCAGTTTGGTCGAAAAATCTGGGACCGGCTAGACCGTCACCGGGCCCTACTCTGTGGGTCTCGGTTTGTCGCCCAACCCGCCGAACCGGAGCCCGAGGTTCGAGGAGATGACGTCCCGTGAGATGGAGCCTGACAGCTTCGCCTACAATGCCTTGTCCCGCCGGTCCCGTTTGGAAGACTGGACCGGACCGAAAAGAGGTCCGACATAGCGGGATCGTGACTGGTAGGTTGTGGTTGTGGTTCTGGTTGTGGTCGTGGCTGCTGCTGCTGTCGTTGTTGTTGTGGTGGTGATGGTGGTGGTGGTGTTTTTTTCTTTTGGCAGTCACGACTGCTGTGGGACGTGTGGAGTGTGGAGGTTTGGTTTGTGGTTTGTTGTTTTCCCGTGTAATTAATTATGTGATGAAGATGCATCAGCTTCCGCCATCCTTGCAAGGGTGGTTTGAGGTTGCTTCCACCCCTGATGCTCTTGGAGCTGAAGCGCTGAACATGGTTTTGCAAGCAGGTAGGTGTCAGGTAGATGTCCCCGAAGGATTGATGTACTGCACGAGAACTACTTGCTATATATTGCTTAATTGCTTACTGTTTGGCAGTCCTCCTACCAGGACATGTTGGTGCACAGACATGCACCAGTTGGACTCACATCCACGTTGCCGCGTTGATTGTGTTCTCTCGGAGGTTGTTCAAAAATGTGCTAAACCTTCACATAAGGTTTCACAACGTACTAGAATTCATGTTTCCAAACATCACGTTTGGCATGTATGATTGCAGCGGACTTTAGCCACGGTACGACGGTACGTTGCATGTATGATTAGGTTTCCTTCAGGGGGGCCTAGTAGCAGAGTTTTCTTCCACCATTGTGCATTACGCAGCGAGGTTCGACAGACAACCACATCTTCTTCGGAGTCTGCGCCCTGATCAGTGGGGGGGAATATGTCAAATTGCTTGCCCGTGGGCACAGCCTCTCTGAGGCCAAAAAGACAATCATGGCCCAACATGTCCTGAACCAAGTTCGGAAAAGAAAAGAGAGGAGAAGGCACAACAAAAAGCATGATGAGAAGGCAACTGAAGTGAATTGGATGGAAGTACTGCAGTGCTGCGGAGGCAGGAGGAAGAGGAGCTCCTGAGCCCTCACTTTTGAACCTCTCATCAGGGACCAACATGTTCTGCATTTGCGCCAGCCAGGGCTGCCTAGGGCGCCTTCCAATTTTCCTGAGCCAACCACGTGGCCAGGGCCACTCCACACATGTCCCAATTGCAACCGGCCACCTGCCCGCTGGAAGCCTACACCAACAGACAAGAGAGGCGAGGGCGCTGGTTTAGATGCCTTGGCTACTCACAATGCCATATGAGATCATATGAGGCACTACAAAGGGTGCCCCGAACACTGTCGACGTGCTTTGGGTCCAATTGATGAAAACGGAATTCCTTTAGGTGAGTCATGAGGGTAAAAAGACCATTCGAGAAGGAAGTTGCCATTCCAAGATCAACGTGAGGGCAAAAGCTAGAGGAGGAAGGAACCATTCCGACGCAGTACACTTTTTGTGAGCCACCCGCTGTTAAAATTCAGAGGTTGAAACGTACAACACTTTGGTGCGTGTGAAACAGGAGTATTTTTGGTTCGGCCGCTGCCACGTGGAGGGGCGCAAGCTTTGGACTCTTCATGGAAAGCAATGAAGGACACATTTTTGGAAGGTGAAGTAAGAATGGAAAGTTCTGGTGTGCAAGACTGTGGTGTTTGAAATGGGACGTGACCTCGCGGATGAACTCCTTCCTGCACCCTAGGGCCCTAGGAATGACCAGAAATATATATATATATATATACATAGCGGTGAGATGAGACTTCGCCAACCAAAACACACCAACACGTTATATAACAAACAATCGCAGCAACAATTTTGCCATAAACCGCCTGTGAAACATTTAGCTTGACTGGGGGAATTGCAAATGCACTTGCATGTTTGCATTTGTGTGGCTGCCAAACATGAGAGTCTGAAACGAAGCCGAACACATGAAGCATTGAACATGCCTGTGTGTTTGACAAGTCTTCATTGGAAAGAAATGGCGACAGCTCCATGGCAGTCGCAGAGTCAGCACCTTGTTTTGCGGATTGTGGTTGGTGTTGTGGTTATTGTTGTTTTCGCCATGGTTTGTTGTGGTTGTTGTTGGTTTTCTTTGTTGGTTGGTCCTGGTGTTGGTTCTGTGTTTGTTGCTGTTGCTGTTGCCGTTGCTGCTGCTGCTGCTGCTGCTGTTGCTCTGTTTGTTTTTGTTTGTTGAAGTCTAAGTGTTTCGCCCCTCAGTCGCACCATGAAGATTTGTGCATCACATCAAGGTGATTTGTCACCACCAAGGAGCCAGTACAAGCCATTGAAGAACATTGTCAACATTCCATTCAAGAACATTTGCATAGATCAAGCCGCGGTTGTGGTGTTTCAGTTGACTTGACACCCGGTTGTCGTCGTTGTTCTTACTTTGACTCCGCCAGGATTTCTTCTTTGGACCGCTGTGAGCAATGGGTCAGTCCCCCAGTAGATCTAGGATCTAGGCATTCATTCAGACCAGCAGGTCCAGACGATGACCTCAGCTTAGGACTTCAGGCCAAGTCCTACAATACCAAGAGCAATAGCTATTTTAGCATTTTGTTTTGCTTTGGCACCAACAGCCCCACAGAACCGCAGAAGGATCAGGCATGATCAGGGAAGTGGAAAAGACATTGACCTCCCCGAATCATTATTGGCTGAAAACAAACAAGTTGTTCAGGTGGAGATGTCTATTAGATTCAATCGCACTACTTGGGTACTTGCTGGCAGACTTGCTGGAGAAAAGAAACAACAAACAGCAACAACATACGGTACCTCGAAACATACAGAAACAGAAGCAATGCAAACAAAGAAGGAACACATATCAGATAGAATATTAAGGTGCATTAGGAAACACATAGAATATTCATGAACATTCTAAGTGATTGCAGCTTGCTACAAACAAAAGACTAAGATATCAACATACATTTGTGACTCACCGAGGTCCTGGCGCTCGTGTGGCCACTTGCTGAAGGTTTTGAGTCGAACTGCGAGTCGCATCACCTCCACCGAAAGGGCTGTTGTTGGTTGGACACGTCGCGTTGGCGGGGGCGAGTTGGATCGGAACCTAGATGAGTGAGGGGGTTGGATCATTTCTTATTCAGCAAGACATGGTGTGAGATAATGATGACTCTGGTTGTTGTTTCATAAACAAATTCCTACCAGATCTTATCAGTATAGCTTTACATTTCCATATATACAATACTTTGGGTAGGGGGGTATACACGTCAACATGACAGTTCTTTGGTGCTTCTCTTTCATGTAGAATCTAGAATGTCGTTCCAACGTGGCCGGATTCCACGCCTGCTCGGTGGAATGAAGACAAACTATACACTGTATACATTGGTGATTGCATTGGATACAAAAGATATCACCAACATCTTCATGAGCTATACATTGCCATTGGAGAACCATGAAAACAATCATTGGATAATGTGTTGTTAGACAAAGCCATCACACTTATGGATGATTTGAGAAGTCCAGGTGTCACGTTGGACTTGTGAAGCTCAGGTTGGACTTGGCCAAGGCCAGGCATCAGGCAGACGAGGCGGATGTAGCTCGCGCAGTGCCCTTCGGACTTGCCTCCAGATGGAGAGTCAATGCTGATCAATTTGGGTGCGTGCGCTTTTCTCCCTGAAAACCATGTGGTCATGAGTATATAATAGTATATATAGATGGGTTTTTGAGGAGGCTACTTGGCAGATTGGATCGTTCCTGTGTTTTTGTTCTGTGTTTCGGGTTGCTGAATCAATCACTGCAGGCGACACTGAATGCCTCTCTCAAAGCGTTGGCGACGGCTACCCGCTGGGCCGCAACCTGAGGACGAAGAAAGGGGCAGTCCAGAGAGATCTCCCAGGAAGGTCTCCCACCTAGAATCCAGAAATTGGCATATCCAGACAAAGGTCCTTGAGTATCTTGTAGGATTTTGATGTATGTCGGATACTGGAACTGCGTAAAATACCAAACGCTTTTGGCTCTCTAGGATCCGCGGCAAGTTTCTGATGGCATCCCACTAAGATGCGCCACTCATATTTGCCGACTGTGTTGGGCATGTTTCGTCGACTCTTCGACGGTTGCTCATGGTCTTTGCTGCCCTGGGGTGTGCCATGTTGGCAACCAGCCAACTTCATGGAGTTGCCCAAAATCGCTGTTGCCAAAAGCTAAGGAGCAGCTTCTACAGCTTTTCTGGGCATTGGCCTCAGTAGCTGGAGAGGCGGTTGGAGACAAGATCGGTGGCATGCAGCACAGCTGGGGACCCTTCCACGGCATGTGTGCATGCGTTTTGCACGCACGCCATCCAGGATATTTGTTTTGCATTCTCGAGTCAAGAGGCTACCCTCCATCATCCAACAAACATGGGGAAGTGGAAGTGGCCCCTTGGAAGACTCTTTGCCTCTACGAGCAGGCTGTGTTCCACTTCCATCATTGTTTCACGGAGGGTGTATGCAAAAAGAACTGGAGGATGACTCTCCAACTGCAGGATGAGTCCCAGACGAAGCTGTGGCACAACTTGGACAGCTTTCGCACGGGCTCCTAAAGACGGGCTGCCCGAGACTTGGATGGGCCTCAACAACATTGAAAATAAACACCATAATTTTATAAGTTCATCCAACTTGTTTAGAATCCACATTCTGAAGAAGGGGTAAAATAAAGATTGAAAAAATAAGTCAAAGTTCGACAACCTATTGTCAGAGCTGTCATGAAATATTGATGATGAACCTGTCCCAATCACTCAGTCGTCGAAACGCCAGAGTGTTCTGTGAACGGCATGCGCTCTTTTCATCTTCCACGATGAAAGGAAGGGTGCAGAAGAACTCACCTGGTTCCGTGCATTTTGGGTCGGAGATGGTGGGATAATAAACCGAAAGATTGCAAATATGGCATTCAACTCTGGTGCCGCTGGTTCATTTTGTTCGCTGGGGAGCTGCTAGAAGTGCTGTAGATGAGTTCAGTTTGTGTTTGTTGGCATTTTTCTTTGTCTATAGATCAGATGCAGTTGCTGATGCATAGACTGCTTTGTGATCAATGGTCGTGGGGGTTTAACCCAGGATCACATTTTCCTCCAAAATGGTGGTTTTTGGCCGCCCCTCGCCGCTCAGAAACCGCACTCTTGGCTTGTTATCGAGCTGGTGCAGCAGAGGTGGGACCCGTGCCCGATGCGAATGCGTCGAGCGAATCTGCGAGCCATGCGAATGGGAGAATCGGCCGTGTCACTTGGCGTAGTTCAACTGCCTGAAGTGTTTTTCACGATCCGGCTGCCATTCGACGGAATTCCTTCCAGATCTTCCATGTTCAAAGGTGCCAAGCAAGGAAACATTCAGGTGCCTCTGCCGGCGCCTGTGCAGGCAGCCGGGTTTCACCAGTTTCGCGGGGATGGAACCTGTGAGGCTTGGGGGCTGTGTCTTCAGCTCCTCGACACCATGTGGGAGCAACAGCTTCATCCCTCCGCCTCCGAGTGGGGCGCCCCAGATCCGCGTCAGCGGGACACCTTCCATGAAAAGACGGAGGTGTGTTTTTGTGGGAATTGGTTTGCTGCGAAGCTTTTCCAGAAAGTTCCACTGTCTCTCGAACGGTTGAGAGGAAGAATCGAACCTTTGAGACCTTCTTGGACTCCAAGCTCCTACCTGGCCCAACCAATGCAATACATGTGAGACACACACACACATGCAGCTGCGAGTGAACTCTCTTCCTTGCTGACTGCGGGAATGAACCCCCCACCGTCAAAGCAAACATCAGGCAGAGAAGACAGAGTAAGTAAGGGATAGTAAGGGCGACCCTAGGCTTTTGACCAGTTGACCGTTGATTTCATGGTCGAGTCTCATGTCTTCTCCGAACCACCTATTGACCTATTGTTTGACTCGGGATTTACGCGACGCCACCAGGGCAGGTCAAGCAGACCTTGCCGTGTTCGGACGACCGGGGCTGGGCTAGCTGCTATGACTCTCATCTCTTCGGTCCGGTGATGCCTCGGCCGACTCGAAGAGCTAGATCAGAGGCTCATGACCGCTCGGAGATGGTCACTATAAGAAGAAGATTGGTGTCCCCCTGAACGTCACAAAGGGTGGGTGGATCTCCATATCCCGGCCGGGCCTCCTGCTAGAAGTGACAGGAGTTTTAGCATGTTTTAGTAAAATGGATCGCCTCAGAACCTGTTTCACAGACGACGTATCGAGGTATGCCTGTGTGGCACGTGCATGTGGTCGAGGCGCTTGACGAAGTCAGATCGGATGCGATCGGACAGAAAAAGCTGCCGGCACCTCGTGGATTCATGTTGGAAGGATTTGGTGTAATACAAACGGTGCAAAAGAATAGCCACTCCCTTTTGGGGGGCCACTTTTTGTTCTGTGTTCCTAATACCGAGTAGAAACCGGTGAGAACTGGACGCGTTTTCAGGCAGCCAGTGGCTGAAAGCCTTACACCTACGAGGTGTGGCCAACAGTTCTGCCGGGGGTCAGGTCTCTGTCAATCAACTTATAGATTCTGTGATTCTGTTCCTAAGGGCGCTTGATGTGTTCAAATTTTGAGAGGACAGATAGGCACACTCGCACGCTCTGGTACACTCGTCTGAAATGTCTGAATAGTACCTTGCTAGTCCTTATGAAGGCGTTCCTCTACAGGCCCCGATTTTTTGGGTGTGTTTTTGGTGTCAACTCAGCTGAGTCTGGAAAAAATGGTCTTGATCCGAAACCATTTCATGAGGACCTAAGCACCTTGAAAGATCCCCCACAACTAGCTGTGGCAGTTTCCATGTGTTGGTTGAAAATGATCATAACATACCAAAGACATCCAAAGTCCATGAGGGAATCTTCACACTGACACTCTTGGTGGAGCTTCGTGTGGTTTGGTCCAGCTGGTTGACGACGGGTGCAGCCCTGGGACAGAATTATGGTGTGTGTTGTTTCAAGCAGAGGTTTGCCATCTCGACGGTGCATCTCCAGATGTTGAGAGCTTCGGCGGAGGTGAAGCTTCAGAGAAATGGCCACAAAGGAAGATGGAATCCCCCCCAAACTCTTCCACCTTGCAGGCATGTCCTGCCGGATGGATTTGTGCTGTTGGAAACGTTCATCGCAGGTTGCCACGGCCTCTGAAACCTTTACGGGCTTTCCTCGCCTCATGAAAGCTCGAGGAAGGGCAGAGAATGGAGGTTGATCAGGCAAGAAAGTACCAGCCAACTTGGCCAACCCCATGGATCCTTGGGACATCTTGGGACGCTTCAATAGGATGAAGTCACAAGGACCAGCTGAGAACGCTTCACCCAGAGATTGCACTCATTTGGGATCCAGCCTGCATGTGTAGAAAATGTCCAGCTTCTTCCTGCTGTTGGAGATCAATGCCAACGATTGCACTTTGACTCAATAAAGGCACAGGCAGGACTAGGCCTCAAGCTGCCCGGCGGCAACTCCAAAGACAATCCGTACATACTTGCGGCAGTTTATGATGTGCGACCAACGCAATGGAAACGACCTGCGATGCCCCCTACCCCCTATGTCAGGAGGTGTTCATACATGGAATGCTCCACTCCACCATGGCGCAACGCATCATACTCCCGGCAGGCACCAAGTGTAGGTTACGGTTAGAGGTCCCAGGTTACGGTTAGAGGTCCCAGGTTACAGTTAGAGGTCCCAGTTTGGAGTAACCTCAGTGAGGGCAAGTTCCAGTCGTCTGCCGCGGTAAGGATGAGGATGAGATCTATCTCCCTCCAATTGGTCTTGGCAGATTCTTGTCCAATCGCCGCCACTTGGAAAATGCACTCAGCCAGGAGCAACGCCGAGGATCATGCCGTCCTGACCGGCTGGCTCAGCCGAGCTTCGCTCTGTCATGTTACGACCTGACTGGCATGTTGTGCCGCCGACTCGAAAAGCTGCCTGGAACGCAACATCGGATGTTTCTCAGGCTTCCGCCGGCGGAGCAGAGCTTTTGAGACCTTTGGCACGTGCGAATGACCACGTGTTTCCATGCGACGACTGCTTCAGCTCTTTGCCTTGGATTGCCTCCAGATCGCTCCTGCACGATGGGTCAAGGCTTGCTCCTGGGCTGTAAAACCGTTGAGGCACGTGCCGGAGACACAGTGATGGCAATAGTTGCGGTGCTTGAAACATGGACTGTTGGAGCATGTGGGGGGATTCCAGCCAGCTTCCCGTGTCCACCCACGTACCATGCCTGGTGTGCCACGCGTGCTATGGTCCATTTTGATCCATTTTGCTGTTTTGTGTATCCCCTTTCACTGTTTTCACTGTTTTATGATCATGTATGATTCTGTTATGATGGTGTGAGAGGAAGAAGCCCTGAAAGAAGCTCTTGATCACTCGCATTCCCCGCCGATTCCTCTAGAATGACCGGACGAAGGGCCGACCATCGACAGGTCTTGAGCTTTTGGAGCAGGCGCGCTCACTGCAATCGTGCCGATCAGTCAGCGTCCAACTGTTTGATATTGCTTGGCTTATCCAATGCTGGGAACTACAGGTCCAGAGGTGAGTTCCTAGATTTCTATGTCTTCCTTTTTTGACACCAGGCAGTCTTTGGCCGGGCCTTAGGGCAATTCTTGGTCCATGAAGCGGGCGTCTGGTGTTTCCCCACTGGTCGACCTGGCGTTTTCTCGGCCAGTCGCGTCCATCGATGTCTAATGCCATGACTTGGGCCTCCGAGGCGCCCCGAGGGGGGGGGGGGGGGACTTTTTCGGGGGGGCGCGGGAGGGTTTTTAGATCCGAGGCAATTAAGGCCAGGACCTTCCGGTTGAGGTGTCTATAAATAGCCTTTTTGTTGCGGTTAAAGGGTGTGCAGACACCACCTGTTGGAAGGCCCTGCAGGGTAGATGTGTGTTTCTTTTTATGTGATTATTTATCTCCTCGGCGGACGTTTTGATTTTTAGCCACCTGCAAAAACATTTGTGGGGTGGATTGGTCTCTTCACTAACTAGACAAGAGGTGGAAAAAATATATGAAAAAGGTTAAAGGTGCATTTTTCTTGGGAAGCGGCTCATGTTCTAGAGTTGCACAAAAAAAGGGGTTCTCTGCTTGACAACGAAGAGGGTGGAATTTTCGGCGTTTGGTCCGGTGTCGGCGCGGCCGTTCCGTGTAGCTCCACTTCACCATCATGCAATGCTCCAAAGTCCACATGCTTCGAATCCACAACTCAGTCGCTGCCAGGGAAGACATGAAACCGATCACCATCAGACCAATCCAGAGGAACGGTATACGGAAACAGAAAGCTCACCAGCACAAACAAATATACCCCCTTCTGAAGTTGGTGTTGCTGTGCAGAAACCCAACTAATTAGAACCCTCTAGAACCATTGAATTGATTTCCATTGGGGTGTTGTAGCCTTCTTCTACGCCGGTTGGAGGGTATCACGAGAAAGTTTCGGTGCAGCATTGTGTGACACCAGAATCAACAGTACACGATGGCATTTTCAATTGATCGTTGAGAACAACGACACTGACATATTCAAATTGAGATCCTCGAACAAAGGAATTAATATAACAAGGGTGGAACATACGTGTTCGAATAATGGAAGGTGTCCTTGACTGGCAAATGTGATATACCCTTAATAATACATCTTGAAATATAAAAATGTTAAAATAAAAACACAATAATAATAAAAGTGCTTAAACTAATAATAATATTATATAATATATAAATAGAAATATATAATTTAGACATATTTAGACGGATATAGTAAGACTAATTACATAACTAATTGTCCGATGCCGATGGTTTACTTATTAATTCTAAATTTAAAAAAAAAAAAAAAAAACAATATATATATATATATGATAATTTTACGAACCTATATGTTAAAATTGATAAATATTTTTAATTAATGATTATAATTTAGGATTTTATATATTTCATTTATTTAGGAAATGAATTTAATAATTAAATGTGTGATTTTTTAATATATAGGATATATATATATTTGTATAATTTATTGCTTAGATAAACTTGAAATATTTAGTGTTCTATATTAATATTGATGATATATGTGTTTTTACTTATTTGGAATTTGATAAAATAAATAAAACATCTATAAAGTAACATTTATATTAATATAGGTTTTTATATTTATTATGCGGTTTGAAATATATATTTATTTATTGAAAAATAATAGATAACTATCGCTAAATATATAACGAATTTACATTATATATGATAATATATATTGATGATCGATTTTGATGTTTTGTATTATTTATATATTAAATTGTTTAAGATTATTTTGATATTAAAATATTTTATTCATAAGAGTTATTTGTTTAATTTAGATATATATATATATGTTTTGGGTTCGTGGTTTTATAAGGCGGGGGGCTTGGTGGGATTCTTTCGTGTGGATGTGGCGGAGAGAAATAGAGGATTGAGTTGGGTTTTAAAAGTAAAAAATATTGATATTGATTATTTTATTAAATAAAATTCGTTACATTTTAAACTCTATTATTAAACATGATTATGAATAATGCAAAATATAATTTAGTTGATAATTTTTATTTAATAATAAATTAAACAAACATATTCCGGTAAGAGACCCCAAATAATATGTTTGATGTCTATATATAGAACTTCTAGACGCATTGGGGGTCTAGAGAGGTGATGAAGGTGGGGATCGTGGTGACGGCGCAGGTGGGGAATGAATGAATTTGTGAATGCGAGTGGGAGTAAGAGCGAGAGTGAGAGTGAGTGAGTGCGAGTGTGAGTGCGATTGCGAGTGAGAATGAGGGTGAGAGCGAGAATGAGAGAGTGAGTGAGTGCGAGAATTATTGTTGTTTGACAAAGTCGTGCCCCTAAAGCAGGTTTTATCAGCTTGGGAAAGAGGATGTTGGCAAGATGCATTGTTTCATGTTGAACTGTTTCAAATCCTGCGTTTAGCTTGGGGAGTGGTTACCCTCATCGTGACAAACCTGGGTGCTCCGACTTGCAAGTCGGCATTCCTGCACCCAGACACAGACGCTAGCAAGAGGCAGGCCTTGTATTTATGGCTGCAGTGGGAAACTTCTATGTAGCTACTATAACGCGCTTCAATGATTCTGGCTAGGCATGGACGGGTTAGAAGACAGCAGTTTCATGTCCAGGGACGCTCAGGGCAAAGCAGGGGACCAATGATGTGCAGAATCAGATGCCATGATGCAAGTTGTTTCCTTCTTTTTTTCTTTCTTTCTTTGGCATGGCGTCGACGCCTCGCAAGCGGCTGTGCTTGGAAGCTTCTCCTTTGTCATCTCAGAAGGCTGCTCCTACTAATCAGGGCAGTCATGGAATCATTTTGGAAGACCTTGACCCAACTTCTTTCCATAGACGCTGTCAATTAGACTACAGTGAGAAGTGGGGCTATGGAAGTGGCTCTAGCTAGAAGAGTGTTATTTTGCTTCTGCTAGCACTCTGAATGGTTTGATGTTGGCAGGTGTCGTTCTGATAGCACTGTGTGTCTGTGCAGATCCCACGTCGAGAGCTGCAAGAGAAAGCAGAAGCTCCAGATGCTTGCCAGCTGAAGCGCTGTGGGTTTGAAGCCTCCTTTATCATCATTTACTTTGTGCAAAGTTGTGTCATCCAACCGTTTGATTTCAATTTTTGTTTTGGAAAGATGTGGGGCATTCAAAAAGTGATACATTCAACGTTCGAAATGAATCTTGCATTGAGGAAATGCCTCAAGAACAGCTGGCCCAATACCTTCGCTGGAAACATGTTGATGTGTTCTCTCGACTGGACAAGTTGTCTTGGGAAGCCAAGCAAGTTGATGAGCATGATGAGAAGCCCAAGCATGTCATGAGCAAAGGCCAAAGCTCCTGTGGAGTCGACCGAGTGCGCGTTCTGTGGTGCGCGAAAGCATACTCACAAGTGGTTGTACAGGGCTGGCAAGAAAGGACTTCGGCGCTGCAATGGCAGCACTTGTGCAGCTTGCTACCGTTCGGCCATTCTCCTAGGTGTTTCACGCTCCAAAGCTTTGATTGAGAATAGCGGGGCCATTTCTATTTTCAAGGTGCTGAGCAGTCGTGTTCGCCGTAACTTTGGCGATGAGGATGTTTGTGAGTGTGCTGAATGCAAGCCAAAGACGTAGTTCTCAAGGGTTTCTTGTGTCTAAGTGTGAGCACTTGCCGACACTGCTTATGGGGAAAATGCTTCTGCAGAACGGCTTGGAAACGTGTTTTTTCAACCAGATCCAACATACAAGGGTCACCGCATCACATGGAGGTTTGTCATATGGGTCTACATACCACACAGGCCCTGGCAGAGTGGCGCATGTTTCTTATCATCTCCACGCTTTTCACAGAACATCTTCCTTGTTTCACATCCAAACTTGCTTCACATCCACATTTGCTTTCCCGGTCAGAGAGTGTCCTGAGAAGATCTCATGCAAGTTGTGCTCGCCCCGCTGCCTTTTCCACGTTTGTAGTGGTTTGCGGGAATGCCGCCAAAAGAGTTTCTTCCTTCCGCGAAAGTCGCGCGGCTATCCTACTCCAATTTGATTTGTGCCTTAGATGCTTGGGGAGTAGAATACAGCTCTAGCGACAGGGAGCTGCCACTCAGGGCAAAGCTTGATGAAGCCATAGCAGCTGCAATAGAGAAGAAGAAAGGGAAGCACTGTGGGGGTGCTTCTGGTGAGACTGCTCCGAGCAAGGCAGCTGAGCCTCCTAGTATCCTGGTAGGAGAGAACAATGGTTTTTGCAACAAGTTATGCGGGAGTCATTCTAAGTCCCTTGCATAGAGACAGGCTTTAGAATGGACATGTCAGAAAGATAGGCGCACTGCTACTACTACTACTACTACTACTACAACTACAACAACAACAACTACTACTACCACCACTACCACTACTACTACTACTACTACTACTACTTCTACTACTACTACTACTACTACTACTACTACTACTACTACTACTACTGTTGATGTTGTAACATGGATGGGCAGTGCCTCACCTAGAGGAAAGTCGGACCTCGTTTCGACCTCGGTGGGACCTCGTTCCCGCTCCCACTTTTTCCAACCAAAAAGCTGTATTACCTGGAATTTTGTTTTCAAAGGGCTTCTCTCGCCTGTGGACGCATCCGCTGTCATTGGCGATCCTCCTTTACCACCTCCATCTACTCCACCGCCTCTCGAGCTTCTTCAGAGATTAGCTGCGGCAGCAGAGTCACATGAGCGACCCAAGACATGCGTGCCTAGGCATGACATGGACCCAGAAGATCAAACCGTTTCTTTGCCTTCCTCATCAGCAGAAACCCTAACATAGATTGCAAGAAGGAGATTTCTGGCCAGAACCGGTCAGCTCTACCTACCTACTGCCGCGCTTGCTTTGCGGCTGAGAAAGCTTTGAGTGCATGCCCATCGCGAGTTGTCGGAGAGTCGCTTTGCGTTTTGTGTGCGGTGGAGATCTCGAGTGACAACAAGTCACCTGTGCCTAAATGTTGTTTCGAGTGCTACGAACAGCAAAGCGCAGTCGAAGACGCCCTTACGGCTGAGCAAATGGACCCCCAGGCTGACGACGCCAAATTTGCGGAGACCAAGACTCCGCCGCCCGCCTTTGAAAAAGACACACCTGCCAGTGAGAAAGAACTTTTGACAGAAGTTGCGTGCCCTGAGCTTGGCTGGGCCAAGCGCAAGCGGGAAAGTGAGATGTCGTGGTATGCCCGCATACAGGCATTTCGGCACGGCAGTGAGAAGAAAAAGCAGAAGTTCTACCATGAGCAGTGGAGCGGATTCGATCAGAAGCACAAAGAGCGTTTTCGGAAAGAGATAGAAGCCAAATTGTTTCCAGAACAACCAGTGTTTGCTCCAAAGCAGACAAACGCAAAGGCTGCAGGTTCTAAACAGGGCCTTGTTGCGTGGCGGCAGGTGCAAGACGATGGACGCTCTGTGGTGCATCTCCCTTCGGGATACACGATTTGTGCTTTGACAAAGGATTTCCAGGAGTATGCTGCAAATCCAGTGGCGCATGACCAAAAGAGATGGGAAATGTATGCCTTGATCTTCCTCTTCATGTCCTCAGGCGATCCGCCTTTTCGCAAGGCAGCGCAAGCTGTCCAAGCCCTTCCAGAACTTCGCTTGAACAAACACTATTTGGGCAAGCTGAAGAAGTTGTTCGGGGATTCCAAGTTACCTTGGGAATGTCCTGCAGAGTTTCGTGTTGGTCGGACACCTCGCGCAAGTTTGTCCCAGGCTGAGCTGGAGGATGTGCTGTTGTTTGTGAAGTGGAGCCAGCGAACTGGCTGCCCCTTGACCATCCAACAGGTCGAAGACGCGATTACCCTGATGAAGCTGGAGAAGCGCCTTGCATCATCAATATGTTTGTAGGGTTTTGCGTTACAGTATCAGCGATTTTTAACGGTGGGTGACGTGTGTGTTTTTTTGGCCATAGTCTTCTCCCTCAAGCTGCCAGGTGCGGCGAGATTGACAATGATCTGGACATAGATGAGTTGCTCTCACTTCTGGCCCAGAAGCGCTCCAAATACAAACATATTTGGCGGGACTTTAAACTGTGGGTTGCTAAGACCCAGGCCCCGCCTGACCAGATTGGCCTGGAGAAGGTTCGCACTAAAACGACTCATAAAATTGCAGCCTGCCAGCCTGATACTGTGTCAAACGCATTCGATGTTCTCGAAGAGATGATGACAAGGCTGGGCCTGATGAAAGACGGTGTAATTCTTCAGACAGCGCTTCAGTTCTCGTTCGGACAGCCTCACGAGACGTGTCACTACACATGCAGATCGTAGCAAAA